CGGATAATTTATCTAGAGATGAAACATAGTCATAAGGATAAACTCCCTTACGAGTTAGTAGGTTTACATTTTTCTTAAATACTTGTTTTGTATTATGAAAATCATCTGGTTGTAAATTTGAAACAAGATTGGCAAGTGATGTTTGAAGAAACTTGAATGAATCTATAAATCTTATTTCAAAATTTATTGGTAAAGTTATTCCAGTATATTTATCTTTATACTCACCAACTTTAATCTTTTTTGAAAAGGAAATATATTTTTCTTCCGTAGATGGAATACAATTTAACTCACCTGGTAAACAAGCAAGTTGTTTTATAAACAAATGAGCATCATAATCTTGAAGATTGTGAAATATAACTGGTAGTATTCTTGGTTTTTTACACATAAGATTACACTTGTTATGTGCTGCTCCACGATAATTTCCGGTAAAATGGCAATGATCTCTTACTTTATCTTCTTTTAATTCTGTACTACAAATATGACAAATTTCTGCTTTATCAAATGATTTTTGTTCCTCTTTATTTAACCTAAGTGGTTTTGGACGGCGATAAAAATCATTATATATACTTTTTGTTACTTTTGAAAGTTTGTTAACGAATATTGATGCTACATTATCACTATCATTAGTCTTTGTGTAAATAATTGGTTTAAATGATATATTAGGGTCTATCCCTTTAATGTGAAAACAAAATCCTGATGGTTCATGCTTTTGATAGTTGTAACTATAAGATTCTTTTGGATTAGGAATACAAGTATTTATTGGTTTAGTAAAGCATTCAAAATCTGCATAAACTACAAAAGGCACTGGAAGTTGTTTTTCATAATTTTTAAAATAAAGCATTGTACCTTCTTCTGGCATTTTTACAGAAACTGTTTCATTATTTGAACAGTATAAGATATGTTTTTGTAATAATTCTTCTTTAGTGAAATGTGTAAAACACCTTTTACAAATAAATATTGAACCATTCTTACTCTTAGTTTTTTGAGATTTAATCAAATGATGAAAATTTTTGATTAGTGTGTAATGTGAAACACCATCTTCTTCATACAAAAATAAATCAATAGTATTCAAACAATCTTTCTCTGCCATTCTCAAAGGATAAAAAAATTTGTTTTCATTAACTGAAAAAACATTAATACCTGGAATTTCTGGATTAAGTTTTTCAAATTTTGTAATGTCTTTTAATTTCATAGGAAAAGTAATTCCTTTAGTATTAAGAGAATTTTCATACTTCTTTAAATCTGCCAATCTTTCCTCATGTATTTCTTTTGGATAAAGATATCTAAGTATACACCAAAGAAAGCATTTCTCATCTTTGTTTTGAATATTAACTATTGCTTTTTTGTTTGATAACCAATCTGGAAAAGGAATGTAAGATGATCCCTTAGATGGATTAAACTCAACAGTATGAATTTCAAGTTGAACTACATGAACAAAATGCCATCCACTTCCATTTTCTTGATAAGCATCTATATCGTTAAGAATATTTTTATAACAAAGATTAATTAATTCATTTACATCTGTTGATTTTAAATTTTTTTTGAATTCCTGATGTAAAGTAAGCCTTACTTTGATTCAATCCTATGACTCCTTTATCTTTACTAAGTAATTGTTGTTCCATCATACAAACCAAAAGCATATTAAATTTTATGTTCCTATGATATGTAAAAAATTCTTCTAATACACTATGAATTTTATTTAAAAAATCAACTGGAATTAATCCAAGTTCTCCTTTAATAACATATTTGTTAGCAAAGTTTTCCAAAGATGATTTTTCTTTAATAAGACCTTGATCATATTCCTTAATAGCTCTCTCAAGAGCTTCACGTAAATAAGAAGGAGTATCTGGGGGAATTGTTTTATTTTTTATACATTCCTCAAAATACTCTTCAAATGATTTTATCTTTTTCTTATTACTTTTGGACACACTGGTATGACTTTCTCTTTTTAATTTTTTCTTTTTCCTTTCTTTTACTACATCAATTCCTTTTCTTCCTTTTTCTCTAGCTTTTTGTAATCTATTATACTGTTTAGTTAATTTTCTTCTTTCTTCTAATTCATTATAATCTTTTTTGAGTTCTTTTTTTTCTAGTTCTATTATATGTCTTATTTCAGCCAAAGACAAATTCTGAAATTCTTTATCTGTTATAAAAGGTTGAGAAACCTTAAAACCATTTGATTGGTTAGACATGACGTCTTATAATATTAAACTTATATTATAAAACGTAAATTCTTAAGTTATAATTAATCAAAACCTGAATTCCTTATTAATCTCTCTTATAAAAAGCCACTCTTTACGGAATTGACCTACATATTCAGGAATTTATCAATTTTATTTAAATTAGCTGTCCCAGAAAAGTGTCCCACAAAAACCATTTCTATAACTACTGACACCCATTTGAAGGAAAAATGTACCACCCTAATAAAGTAAAAATACTCAAAATCCAAACAATCAGTAAAAAATACGAAGTCAAGTCTAAGGGAAGTGACACAATAGTATTACTCAAAGCCCAACATGTTTATTAATTGGAAATGTCTTCTTCTGTTTAAGATTCCTGGAGATAGTGAGAGAAAGCGAAAGTCCAGTTCATCAATGCTACGAGCTGCAATTAAAGGCAATAATGTGGTGAAAAGTGAAAGGAGAATTAACATTCGTTTTCCCGAAAAAGGCAGCCACAGAAACCACATTATTGGGGAGGTTGGAATACATTAACTTGTTTTCATTGATTCATAGTATTGTATTCTTAGAAATGTTTCACAGTACAAAATGACATTAATACATGCATTCTCTTAAAAATCTCAGGCAGGTGGTATTCAACAACAGATGGACCAAAGGGTTGCTCAGAAAATCCAGTATCTAGTGGGAAATGGTATCCTAAGTGTCAATGAAATGAGACGCCACCTGAGGGAGTACCTTGCTAATGACCTGTTTTGTGGCCAAGAACTACCGCCCACTTACAATCGACGCTACTTTCCGACCAAAAAGGACATACACAACCACATGTACAGGACTATGGTGCAAAACAGATTTTCAAAATGTGACCAGACCAATGTGTCTAAGAAAGTTTGTGAGTGGCAGAGGCAACATCCACAGGACCTGTTTTACTTTTGCCCCTATGCAGCAAGACAGGGTCAGGCAGAAAGTGATATTGCTGTGCCTGATTGTGCTAACATCAAAGATGACAATTACTATGATGAAGAAGTTAAACTGACTAGTAACACCTGCAAACAGTCTCTTCTCTTTCTGCACCAAACCACCTGGCAAAGAAGACTTCTAAAGAAATATGGCGACAACATCTGCCTGCTGGATGCAACCTATTGCACCACCAGGTACTCACTGCCACTATTCTTCCTGGCTGTTAAAACCAATGTAGATTACCAGGTGGTTGGATCATTCATCATTCAGCATGAGACAACTGAAGGAATAGCAGAGGCTCTACAAACACTTAAGCAGTGGAACAAATCATGGAAGCCACAGTTCTTTATGACGGACTTAAGTGAACAATAACGAAAGACTTAAGTTGTACAATAGTACAAGATCCAGCTGCCCAAAGAAAGTTGTCCTTGCACATGCATCAAGAATGCTTTTCACAAAGGGGCAGTCAATTACATTTGTTATTCCACCTGTCCTAGAACAGATTGGACCAAATGACTGCGGCCTTTTTGCACTGGCTTTTGTGACATCACTTTGTCAAGGGACGCCTCCAGAAGAAAGGGAGTATGATCCAGCTTTAATGAGATGGCATTATGTGGATTGTTTGGAACAGCTTGCCATTAAACCCTTTTCAGGTCGCCAGAGACTACTCCCTCAAAATGAAAAGATGGTAGTGTATGAAGTGAAGGTGTTTTGAAGTTGCCGTATGCCAGACGATGGCAAGACGTATATTGAGTGCAGCAGATGCCAAGAATGGTACCACCCAGTTTGCGAAAATATTCCTAGTTCAGCAATGAAGAAAAAATGCAAGTGGTACTGCAGCACGTGCCAGAGATCTGAGCCAGCTTGAACTGAGAACAACCAACATGAATAATTACCCCTAATGCAACTTTCTTTTATTGCATTATTATTACTCATATATCATGTTTTATACCATTGAAATAAGAGTTTTCCTAGGTATGAAACAATCACAAAAAATCAATCTTCACATGTAAGGTTGCAGGTATCAGTGTTTCCAAGGGGACAAGGGAAGTGTTCAAATGCCCGTACCCCCCAACCCTCCCCCCCCACCTCTCCACTGCAAAATATATGACGAATATTCACAACATTTCAAACTTACAAAAAGGTCTTTCAAAAGAGACACCAATTTTTTATGAGTTTTATGTTATTGTAAATTCTAAAAAAATCACCGATGGAAAATGATCATGATATTCAAGCGTAGATTTACTGTTTCATCCCAACGTCATTTTCATGTAAAGAATGTTCTCCATACTTCAGAAAGACATTTTTAAGATCATATTTCAGTCTATTTCACAAAACCTCGAAGAAGCACTTCCAGAACGCTTCCAGTGGTCAATTATAATAAGGCATTAGCGATGAAAATACAAAATATACTTACCATCATTTTGTCAAGGTTAAATAAAATATAATTGCATGGTGAGTCGCCTTTGTTGAGTCTTTGTTCAAACGCAATGTTTAGTTTCCAATGTGTGTGCCGAAGCTGCATCCGAGGATTCTGGATGACGTCACGTCATTCTGAAGTATGGAGATGAGTGCTAACCTATTCACTCTTGTTTCAACTCCTCTACAATATAATAAAATCCTATTGTCAATGGCTACTTAACACTGTAGAGTAAACAATAACCTTTAAAGATAAAAATGCTAAAAGACTACAATTATTATAATATTTTATTATTTTGTGCAACATTATTATTAGGATAAATAGATCTCATTCTTTTTAACGTTTGCTCTTAATGACTAGCAAATCATAGTTAAGCATAAAAATATTCTAATCTTCAGGGTTTATGTTTCGCGTATTGCTGTTCAGATTGGAAATTTCTGGCAATGGTGTATGGCCTTAACTCAGCAGCTGGAAAGTATTTCTGCATATGGTGCTCCTGTACAAAGGCAAAAATCTGTCATTTTTCAGGTAAGTTGTAAGGCCAAACATACTGACTTTCTTATCGACAACATCTACGTTCGTTTTGGAAGCTCTGTTTTCCGGCAGGTTATTGGTATACCAATGGGCACCAACAGTGCACCTTTATTGGCTAATCTCTTCCTTCATACCTTCGAGTACGATTTCATGGTCAAAACAATGAAACAGGATATTACAAAAGCCATCCAATTCAGCAACACCTTTCGGTACATCGACAATTTATTCAGTGCTAACAATGTGGACTTTGGAAATTACATCAGCGCAATTTACCTGTCGGAATTGGAACTTAAGGACACTTCCACATCGTCTACTGAAGTGTGTTATCTCGACACTAATATCAAGACGAAATCCTGGAAGCAGAAATTGACAAGATTGGTGTTCCTTTCAAATTTTATGAAGTTCAGTGTGATGATGGACCATCACAAACCCAAAGGACAAGACTAGATGGTAATTATTATTATTAAGTTCATAATATAAAAAGTAAAGTACCAAATGCACATATCTTAAGGGTGTTGTTTTCATTTTAGGAAAGGATCTTCGAAATATACTAGACTTAAGGCCCATCTCTGAAGGAATTCCAGCTGAACGAATGCTGACCTACAAAAATGTTAAGAAGTTATGGAAGGGACTGACTGAACACTCTTCTTTTAGCCATTTCTATTTTTATAATACAGCTGTAAAGCATATCTGATTATCAGGACTAATTGTAGTCTTTTCCAGTAGGTATTTAGTGAACTTGTTAAAGCCTTGGAGGCACAACCTGAACATGAGGACTATAAGACACCAGAACAATTCAAAGACTAAGCTAGAAAAATTAATGGGCAAGGTTCTTTACAGTTGCTCACTTTGAAATATACCTCTTACACATTTTCTTTGTTAAAGTTGACATTTATGTTATCACTTTCTCAGTACACTAACTTTAACAGTTGCCACCCACCAGGCGTTAAAAAAGGTTTTGTCAAAGGAGAGGCTCTGAGACTTCTAAGAACTAACTCTTCTAAAGTCATATTTGACAAGAATATTAAAAACTTTAAAACACGCCTTATCTCGAGAGGCTACCCAGAGAGTATGGTAGAAAAGATCCTCTCAGAAGTTAAATATGCAGATAGAGCGACAGCTCTGACACAAAAACAGAAAGCGCAAAAAATACTTTTACCCTTTGTCACGCAATTTCAACCGTCATTACCAGGTTTGAAAAACATACTAATGGAAAAATGGCATTTAATAGAAAACCAGCCACTACTCAGAGAGATATTCAAGGAACCTCCCTTGATCTCTTATAGAAAAGGAAAGTCGCTTAAAGACATGCTTGTTAAAGCAAAACTGTAAAGGCTTATAACAACACAACGGTCACACAGCAGGAGCCGCGCAGGTCTGTCAACCCCATTTTACCATGCTTGATATTTTTAGACATGACCCCGTCCTGCGACGTGCCAGACAATCAGAATTTGAACATGTACAATGATACAAAAGAAGTAAATGTACCCAGTACATACGAATATTCAGATCTTCATCTTTGGAAATGTTGAATAGTAATATTTACTTATAAAGTCTATGTACTTTTCAGAGAGGACAATAACCTACATTGTTCAAATACTGACGAGAAAGCCTTCTATAGAAACACAACTGTATGTCGGATCGAAATTGCAAAAGACTCACGTCATTGGCCAGAATCTATGGACCAATAGAAAAACAGGCGCGCATTTTCGATCCGTTAAGCGTTATATAAACGGCTGTAACCTCTTTACGTTACCACTATCCATGAGATATACCTCTAGCAACTGACGAGATTCCCTAGTAGAATCGAAACTGCAGTCTTGCTTCAGCTTTTACATCTACATATGGAATATTCAATTCTCACCAAAGACGGTCAACTTAGACCACCTCAGCCAGAAGAAACAGATGAGTCTCCAATGGACGCTGAAGAGGAAAATCTACTCCTTGACGAGACAGAAGGTGAAGGAAACGAAAGCGCCATTACTGACGACTCTGAAACTATACCTGACTCTCAACCTACCCGCCAGAAGACAACAAGAGTTCCTAGAGAACAGTACCATAACGATAGAAAACGAAAACGGGACCAATCTAACGATCAGACCCATAACGGCAAAACACCACGCAGAGCCGCCGAAGCCGCCTCCTTAGAGACAAAGATTGAAAAATCAGAGACAGCCATCACGAAACTGAGAAAACACATGAAGGACAGAACATGTCCAAAGACACTAAGATACAACGTGCGTGCAAATATCACGCCAGACGAAGAATTTAAACGAGAAATAGGCTCGATTAGAAAAACTGCCGAACAAGAGTTCATTCACTCGTTAGCGAAGTTTCACCAAAGACGCATTGATCGTCTTCAGAACAAACGAAAAAAGGTTGAGAAGGATAAGCCTCACTTCAGGAAAGCGACCAATGTTGTTCAAACTAGAGAGCATAAGACGCCATCGGCGACTAGAGAAAACAATGTAATGAAAAGCACTGATGTAATTAAGTTAGCATCAGACCTCCAAGCTAAGTTCGACAAGTTCTCACAAATGATGTCAAAGTTTACTGATATTGAGAATAAACAAAGTGAATCGTATCCCAGTGTTCTCTCTGTTTCTAACAAGGGAAAAGAGAAGGGGATAAATAGTAAAACACTCACTGAAAGAAATCACAGGAGAAGAAAGCGGAAAAATGTCAAACACATTAAGCTATATAACGAAGCCATAGAGACACGCAAAAAACACATTAAGAACCTCTCAGACACAGAACTAACAACAGAGCAGATCAATTTACTCTCTCGGGGTTTGAAATTCATTCCAACTCCTGTCATGAAAGAAAACCAGATAAGGAGCCAACTAATTTCAGACTTTAACCAATTTGCCAGAAGGATGCGCCTCAAATACATTTATCATGGCAAAGATACTGTACCACACCCCTTCCATGTGAAGTCTAGTTGGATTCCCCCAGTTCAACGGTCAGTTGCTCTAGAATCCTATTTAGAGGAAGTCAAACTACGGCTAACAGAAGTGCCACTAAATAAACCTAAAAACAATCTGCCGCCTGGGGAGCGCCGAGCGCTCCGTGAACTTATTCAAAACAAAGAAATAATCCTTAAGAAAGCAGATAAAGGCACAACAACCGTCATAATGAAAAGAGAGAACAAAATAAATGAGGGACAAAAACAGTTGGATGATAGAAACAACTATCAACCTTTGGAAAAACCAATGGTTAAGGACACATCCCAGAGAGTTAAACACCTCATTAACACTCTACATAACGAAGGTTTCATTGACGAAATGACAGTAAAATGGTTTAACCAGACACCAGATCCGCCACGAATTCCAGTATTCTACACTCTCACAAAAATACACAAACCGACTTTAGTTGGAAGACCTATCATTTCGGGGTGCGATGGCCCCACAGAACGCCTCTCATCATTTGTAGACAAGCTACTTCAGCCAATAGCACAAATACAAGACTCGTATCTTAAAGATACGACACATTTTATAAGATTTATCGAAAACACTAGGGTGCCTAGTAACGCTTTCTTAGTCTCAATGGATGTCACCAGCCTTTACACGAATATCCCACAGGAGGAAGGAATTACTATAGTATGCAACGCATACGAAAAATTTCATGACAAAAACCCTCCTATAGCTACACACCTGCTTAAAGAAATGCTCAGTCTTATCCTTAAAGAGAACTCTTTCCATTTCAATGGGAAAGACTATCTCCAGACTCACGGAACTGCTATGGGCACGAAAATGGCAGTAGCTTTTGCCAACATTTTTATGGCAACAATAGAAAAGGAGATCTTAAAACAAAGCAGAAGGAAACCACTAACGTGGAAAAGGTTTATTGACGACATATTCTCTTTGTGGGACACAAACAAAGAAGATATAGATCTTTTCATTGAGCAAGCCAATTCTTTTCATCCTACAATCAAGTTCACTGCTGAAATATCACAAATTGAAACCACATTCTTGGACACGACAGTCTATAAGGGAGAGAGATTTGAGAAAGAAAGAATTCTCGACGTGCGCACACATTTTAAATCTACTGAAACGTTTCAGTACACTAACTTTAACAGTTGCCACCCACCAGGCGTTAAAAAAGGTTTTGTCAAAGGAGAGGCTCTTAGACTTCTAAGAACTAACTCTTCTAAAGTCATATTTGACAAGAATATTAAAAACTTTAAAACACGCCTTATCTCGAGAGGCTACCCAGAGAGTATGGTAGAAAAGATCCTCTCAGAAGTTAAATATGCAGATAGAGCGACAGCTCTGACACAAAAACAGAAAGCGCAAAAAATACTTTTACCCTTTGTCACGCAATTTCAACCGTCATTACCAGGTTTGAAAAACATACTAATGGAAAAATGGCATTTAATAGAAAACCAGCCACTACTCAGAGAGATATTCAAGGAACCTCCCTTGATCTCTTATAGAAAAGGAAAGTCGCTTAAAGACATGCTTGTTAAAGCAAAACTGTAAAGGCTTATAACAACACAACGGTCACACAGCAGGAGCCGCGCAGGTCTGTCAACCCCATTTTACCAGATTTTTATTGATTTCATTTTAGGATGAATTAGCGCCCACCTCGAATAAGCGCCCATCCCAAAGGCAGAAAAAGTTAATAAGCGCCCACCCCCTCCTCCTCCCAATCAAACTCAAATAAGTGCTCACCCTCATTCCAGCCACTTGAATGAATAAATTCTAATAAGAGACTTCCCCGAGAACGGAGTTTTCTTCAGAGTATTTTACAGAAACCTTGCTTTGTTACTTCTTCGCATTTTGTTGTTAACATTTATTGTTTTGTTGCAAAATAAACATACTTCACTTGCTGAAAATGGTGAAAATTTAATAAGCGCCCAGCCTCGAATAAGCGCCCACTTTTAAGGTCCAAAAATTTAATAAGCGCCCAGGGCGGTTAATCGAATAAATATGGTACATGGTAAGTTTTGTCTTATTGCTCTTATTACGTATTATTTTGCTAATTAAGCAAGCAATAGTAATAGTAACTCAAATTCAGTGACTTAAACAAGAAAAAATAATTTTAGTGGACATCTTAAAATGATACAGTTATTGATGCCATGGTGGACATTTTATTTCACAGCACTAGTTTACCATGTTCCTCAGCTCCTGGAAAAAAGTGGAAGCATTTCCCTCTTCAACTGCCAACCAGTGGAGAAAAAAAACCATGAGCAGTTAAGGATGTTTCACCGTGCAACACAGAACAGAGGTCGCAACTCAAGTTACACTACACAAGTCATGGAAAAAGAGAACTGTAAGATCTATGCAAGAGTAAATAGGCTCTGTAGAACAAAAAGAAGCTATCAGAAAAAAGAACCGGATTTAGATCACTCACCAGGAAGCCTTAACATGTACAGCCACCAAAATCAAGAGGAAGGATAGTGTTAAAGATATGACATTAGACTAATATAAGCTTATCTCAATTTCCCAATTTTATTACCACAATTATATTATGCACTGTCGTCATTAAATTACCTACAACTTTCAACCGCTTATTTTAATGCCTCGGTCGCACAGATCAATAAAAATCTCTCATTTACTTACCGAACTACTGAAAATGTACAAATCGTCCAAGAATCAGCGGGCGCGCTCCATTCAACCACAAATTCCAGAAATTTTGGTCCAAAATGTCAATGGATTGGTTTCGGTCCAACCAGAAAAGTCTCGAAAAAACACCTTTTGAGGTGGACCACTTTTCCTGGTCGGACCGGTCTGATCGAAAAATTACCGTTCCATTTGACCATTTCGACTCATTCTTATTCCTAGTGGCGGCTTCAGTCTATCGGTGCAGCTTTTGTGATGTAACTGTACCCAGCCGAGAAAATTTGCTATCCCACAGCTGTCAAGCTATTACAGGTAAGTGTTTGGTGTATTTATTTGTTGCTTTTGCAGAAAAAAAAATCATCCAAGTAAAAAGTCAGTCTGTGGTCAAGTCTCGACTGCGACCATTCCCGCCAAAACTAATCATAGCCAGAAATTTCGGACAACATGGCTACCAACACGGCCTCACGCATGCGCAGATAACACAACAACAGATAAAAATGGCAGCAGAACATATAGGAAATATGGGAGAAATATTTTACTTTCCGGTTTTTCGTAATTTACTCAAATGGCCACTTTCCACAGCTTAAAAATTAAAAAAGCAATGATCAAACTACATTTTCATGGAACAAGAAACGAAGATAATTCCATTCTAGCCACAGCCTTTTGTGATCAAAATACCTCCAGAAAGGCACAATAGAAGCCCTTACTAACCTCTTAAAACAGCGCTTACCTTCATAATTTTCTAAGCGTGAGAAGAGAAAGTTCTTGTCTCGACAAGTTTCTCAAGCTTCCCATTCAAAACATTCGATGTTTATCTTGCAAAAAAAACGTTTTTTTCTCAAAAAAACACTCGCTAAGGCACTGCCATTTTACGAAGAAAATCAGGCTCGTTTGTAAGTGAAACCAATGAAGAATTGGAGCCATTACTGAGGGAAAAATGCTCAGAGACCGTTTGTTTTCTTTCTGTTCTGCAGCTCTTTGGAAGCCATTTTTGTTCTACCTCGTTTCAATTGGTCAGCTGTATTCCCTATTAAAATAGGTAAACCGCTGAATATAGAAAGCGGCTGAATTTCGAAAAATAGCGAGGTATTCTGTAACACAGATTCTGCTCGTAACCACGTAAAGTAACCACCAGTAATAGTACACTTCATGACCCATACATGACGATATATACCGTCGAATTCAATATGGCAGACAGAGCCCGGGGCCGGGTTGTTCAAAGCTGGGTTAAGATAACCCAGGGGTAGTGTGAAATGTGAATTGAGAAATAAAAGCTGTAAAAGCAAATTCAGTTTAATTCTTTGAATACTTGATGCCCTAAAAGCAATAGGCAAAATTAACCCCGATTAAAATTCAAGCCTGGGTTAGCGCTAATCGGCCTTCGAACAACTGGGCCCAGGAGAATATTTATATACCTTTTAACATATTCCATTCTATAAAATGCAGTAAATATATGCCGTTCTTTTCATAACAGGATAACCTGCATTTTTGTTAGTAGTATAGGGTGCACCACGGTTTCCACTTTTTTGAGCAGGAATCTCATTAGCGTGAGCAGGAATACATTAACGCCGATGACGTCATAGGCTATTGTCCTCATCTCATGAATAAAATGCGGTCGATTTAATTAAGTATACTGGTTTGACCGCAAACAGTCCAAGATAAAAATCGGACCAACTATATTGACCAAATAAAAACAAAATACTGTATTGGATAACAGTTGAACTCATGAATAAAATGCGGTGGAATAAATTAGCGTCTATGTCGTAATACTCTATTCTCTTGTACTCATGAATAAAATGAAGGGGAATAAATTAGTATTTATGTCGTAATAACCTTATTGTCTTGAACTCATGAATAAAATACGGTGGAATAAATTAGCGTCGATGACGCAAGAGTCTTTTGTCTTTATTCCTTAGTGCGGTGGATTTAATTAACGTGTTCTATATTTAGAATGCTGGTAAAACCCATTTGACAGGTTTATTTTAGATCGATGATGTCATAGTTTATTGTTCTTGAGCTTATAAAAGCTCGCTTTCTTCCAAGCACATCATTTGCAAGTTGTGAGTTTGAGTACTTATCATGGATTTTGATACCACTTTGAATGAGTTTGAAAATTGTATCTGGCGCGATGAGACTGTAAGCGATCAGATGTTGGATCGAATGATGGCTTTCTGCTTTCCAGAAGGGGTAAGTTGAATTTTTTACTTATTAACGCCCTTATTGAAGTTAATCTTTCCCTAACAAACTATGTATTTCTTGTAGACTCAAGATTCATCGTTTATTGAAGAAATGATGGAGCCATCTTTAAACCAAATACAAAGTGGAGCAGGCAGAAAACGACAGGCAGAGGTAAGTGTAAGTACTTGATTTTCTCCCCCTCATCAAGGTAGTTAATATATGGTTTACTCTCATTCAATAGGATGATGTAGACAAGTCTCCACCTAAAATGCCTCAGTATGAATGTCCTACTTGTAAAAAAGTCTTTACACAACCAGATAACTTAAAACAGCATAAACAGATCCATTTCAAGGAAAAGCACCAATGTTCCAAGTGTGACAAGACATTTCATCGGAGATCAAACCTACTGCGCCACGAGAAGCAAGTCCACGAAAAGCGTGCTGCAGCTAGAGAGTACAAGTGCAATACCTGCAGAGAGCGATTTCATAATCTGGCGCCATTCCGAGCTCATCAGAAGACAGCTCACAGCCAACCCTTGCCTAGAGCTACAAAACGTACACGGGATGATGAAGCAGGTAAATCTTTTTTTAGTCGTATGTAAATGTTTACTTCCTTTACACAAAAGATGCTAGGACCTATTTCTGTGTTAAAGGTCTTAATTCCATGCAAATTGACGGTAAAAGCAGTGAAGCGTAACATAGTCATGTGCTTATTTTGAGTAAGTTAAACAATGGAGCCCATTTCTGAATTTTAGTTAGACATTAGGAGTTTATTTCTTTGTTAGAACCAAAGCCCAAGCGTATAAAGCCAAACCCCGTGGAAGAAAGGAAAGCAACTTCTAACTGGCAAGAAGACCCCCGCACCATGTCTGACCTACCCCAAGAACAGCAACATTCCCTTCCTGAGTACCGTACCATTGGCATCAAATCAGAACCCGTTTCAACCGCCATAACTGTCTTTCTGACTGGTATAACTTCCGCCTAACCTCCCTTCAACCACAAGAGATTTCCAACCACTTAGACGAGATCTTCACTGATCAGTCCACAGTCTTCAAAATCAATATGTCCTTTGGGTTTATTCTAAGAAACAACGAAACCGGTGAGTTGCAGTATTATTACACATCAAGAAACAACGAACAAGTCTTTGAAGAACCTTTCCAGATTACAACCGCAGCCAACCTTCCCCAAGTTTGCGAAGCATTAAAGAATCTCGATGTCTTGGAATGGGTAAGCCAGCGGCGTCCCAATTCTAAATGGGTTGTGGATACAGTGACCAATGTCACCTTCTTTATAACCAAGATTCGAGGTCATCCTATTGGAAGAGGCACCGATTTGCCCGAGTACCTTAGTAACAATAATGGCTTACTTCCCTTGGACCGAGACCATAAGACTGGTAAAGTCTACAGTGACAATCTCTGTTTTTTCAGGCTCTGGCACTCCACAAAGGCTGTCACCCCAAGAATCTAGAGAGAGATGCAAAGCATTACTACGAGAGATATCGCAAAGCACTATTTGACAAAAAGAAGTTCTGTGGTGTAAAACTGAAAGAACTGTCCGACATAGAACACCTCTTTGAAGTCAATATCTTTGTATATGCATTGGAGCCCACCAAGCCCGATGGAGAGGAGGGAGATGAAGACAATACCGAAGAAGAAAATACAGTACCAGACATTGCTGCACAATTGGTTCACCGCTCCCTTTGCCACTACCCAAGCACTCTTTACCTCAACCTGTACCAGAATCACTTTTCCTACATCAAAGACATGAATAAGTACGCCAAGTCCTATTGCTGCTACCGCTGTGGAAAATTTTGGAAACACGTGGGTATGCTGCATCGTCACGAGCGCACTTGTGAAGCAAAGGTTTTTTACATGTTTCCTGGTGGTGCTTACAAGACTCCACCGACCATCTTTCAGTTGCTGGGAGATGAAGGCTTGTCCATTCCTGAACATCTCAAGTTCTTTCCTTACAGAGCTACCTTTGACTTTGAATGTATGTTCAGCTCTACCACCGGACTCGAGAACACAAAGAAACTCACTTGGAACGCCAAGCATCTACCGCTAAGTGTCGGTGTCTGTTCCAACGTCCCAGAGTACGATCAACCCAAGAGTTTTGTGACTGATGGAGACTCTAAGCAACTTGTTAAAGAGATGGTGGACTACCTTGTGGAAATCAGTAGCAAGAGTTATGGCCTAATGAAGGAAGAGTTTTTCAGCATCTTTGAAGCCGTCGATCAAAAGCTAGAAGAACTAAAACAAAAATCAGAAGAACCAACTACAGAGATTGAAACCCAAGAGGATAGTGATGATGAAGGGGAAGATCTAATGGAATCAGATGGAGAAGAAGAAGAGAGCGAGTCTGAGACAGAAGAAGATTGTGCGTTTATTGATGATGAAGTGGCGGAAGATCAAGGAGCCTCGTTTTACCGGGCTTTCGACCGTGAACGTGCAGGGGAGGAAGTAGAAGAATATTTGGATACTGTCGACCAACCCAGAACCTTACAAGAAAAAAGAGCACCCGTTGAAGAAACTAAGAGATAGACTCAAAGAATACTTGAGAGAGCTTCCTGTCCTTGGCTTTAATTCTGGTAAATATGATTTGAACCCTGTCAAAGAATTCCTCTTTCCTGTCCTGGTCCAGAATGAACAAGTTCAGTTCACCATTAAGCGCAACAACAACATCATGTGCCTAAAGACGAGAAACCTTCGCTTCCTTGATGTTACCAACTTCCTAGCGCCAGGCTTCAGTTACGATAAGTTTTTAAAGGCCTACGAGTGTCCTCAAACGAAAGGGTTCTTTCCATACGAGTGGATGGATTCTCTGGAAAAATTAGAGCACCCATCTCTTCCACCTCACGAAGCCTTCTACTCTACCCTGACCAACAAGCACATTTCTAAGGAAGACTACCGGTACTGTCAACAAGTCTGGTCCACCAAAAACATGCAGACCTTTCGCGATTTCCTGATCTGGTACAATAACCTGGATATACAACCATTTTGTGATGCCCTGGAGAAGATGTGTGCCTTTTGGAAAGACAAGAACATCGACATGCTGCGGCAAGGCATTTCCATTCCCGGTGTCACCTTGACGTATCTCTTCACCACCCTCGAAACTGGCATCTTCTTCTCCTTGTTTGACGAGAAAAACAAAGATTTGTACTACCTCTTTAAGAAAAATATGGTGGGTGGACCAAGTATCATCTTCCATCGCTATCATGAAGCAGGGAAGACAACGATTAGAGAAAAAGAGATGAAAGATCAGGGAAAAGAACCAAAGATGTGTGAAAAAATTGTGGGATACGATGCCAATGCTCTCTATCTCTGGGCCATCATGCAAAACATGCCCACGGGATCTTTTACGAGAAGACGCGAAGAAACGAACTTCCAAAAAGAAAGCTCCACTAAGATGGCCACCGAGTGGTTAGAGTAGAAGGCACATGAAGGAGGAATTTTTATACGCCACCAAATGAACAATACAGAAAAACGCATAGGTGAAAGAAGGCTCCCAGTGGATGGTTTTCACGGTCCTTCGCAAACAGTCTTTCAGTTCCATGGCTGCTGGTGGCATGGGCATAACTGCTACCTAACTAAAGGAAAAGAAATGACAAAAAAAGAAAGAAACCAATGGCTGAGCTCAGGGAAGAAACCAAAGCCAACTCCAAATACATCCGTGATCAGGGATACGATCTCGTGGAGATGTGGGAGTGCCAGTGGCGCTGAATGAAAAAAACTAACTCTGCAGTACAATATTTCATGAACAGAAAGTTTCACTGACCCCTTGACCACCACCAGACCCTGGACCAAAATCAGATCATAAAAGCTATCAGAGACGAGTCTCTCTTTGGTCTTGTCGAGTGTGACATCACAGTACCTGACCATCTGAAACCCAAGTTCTCTGAAATGTGTCCAATCTTCAGAAATACGCAGATTTCTAAAGAAGATATAGGTGAATACATGCAAACCTTTGCCGAGGAGCAACATATCATGCCTCAACCTCGTAGAAGTCTAATAGGTAGCTATTTTGGAGAAAAGATCTTGTTGGCCACACCGCTCATTAAACGGTACTTGGAGCACGGGTTAGAAGTCACCAGGATTTACCAAGTGGTCGAGTACACACCCGTTCCTTGTTTCCAGCCCTTTGGAGAAGCTGTCTCCGATGCCAGGCGTGCTGGGGATGTGGACCCGAACAAAGCCATCATCGCAGATACAATGAAATTAGTAAGTATGATTTCATTTGTACAAGCATTTTGCCACTTTTTT